GCACACGTCCTCAGCACAATTGGGGGGATTCCGTCAGGCCCACTCGACTTGTGGATGTCCAGGGAGAGGAGTGCTTTGCGAACCGAGCGCTGAGTGAACTGCACTTCCGGATTCCGGATGGAGCACTCACACCGCGGGATTGTCGGCGGCGTACTCCCCCCGTCATCGAGAGTCGAGTTAGACGCAAAGAAAGAGCCTAGAAGATCGGCTTTCTCTTTTGCGGTGTGGGCCAGTGAGCCGTCCTCCCTGTGCAGAAATGGAAGAGATGGCTGACAGAAATTCCCCTGGACAGCCTTGGCGAGAGACCAGAATGTACGGGTTCCAGAAGGAAGACGAACTAGTTTCTCGCCAATTCTGCCTATGTGCTCTGACTTTGCCTTGGCAATGACTCTTTTGAAGGACCTAGAGGCGGAATTATACTTCTTTTTTAGAGCGCTGGTGTTTACATCCCTGGACGCTGATGCGTCAGTCCAGGCCTGGTAGCACTCCTGCTTATAGCATGATGCTATTTTACAGGAGCGACCAAACCATGGCTGAGATTTGCCTCCAATGGGCACCACAGAGGAAGGAATAAAAAGTTCCATACCCTGAAGTACCACATCAGCGACAGAATCCGCAACAACGTTGGGATCGTCCGGCGAGAAGCAAACCCGCCCCCAAGGGTAGGATGCAAAGAAAGACCGCATCCCATCCCAATCGGCTGACCTATAGTGCCAAACACGGCGGCAGCCTGCAGAATGCAACCGCGATTTCAGCGTGAGTGGCACCACACTCCGGACAAGACAATGGTCCGAGGAGCCTAAAGGGGCGTCGACGGAAATCTGATATCCGTCCGGGTGAGAGGTCAGCAGAAGGTCCAACAGGGAAGGTGCATGATCCTCCACATCTGGAATCCGCGTAGGCGAAGTAACCAGTTGTGTCAGACCATATGCCAAGGCAAAATCATGAACAGATCTCCCCGCATGATCGGTTAAACGTGAACCGAGCCATTCGGCGTGATGGGCGTTAAAGTCGCCGAGGATCACGATCTCTGCGGAGGGGATCTGCTGTAGCAACGAATCTGCAGCCATTTGGACGTGGTCGAAGAGTCGGTCTGTTTCGGCATTACCGCTGTGGGACCTATAGAGGCACCCGTAGACGCGCGGATGGTCGTCGCTGTCTACGCGTAGCCAAAGGATGGACAGGTCCGAACCTTCAAGTCTGCCGAGGCGTCGAGAACAGATGTCCTCTCTGATGTAAACGCAAACTCCAGCCCGAGGCACAAAGGAGTGTTCCAGTTTGTACCCCGGGTAGGAGAGATACGAGACATCAGCCGGAGAGGACACCTGCGTCTCGGTCAGAAAGAGCAGAGCCGGCCTCGCCGTCTCGAGATGGTAGTGGACGGCGTTTAGGTTGGAGTGAAGTCCCCTGATATTGCAGAAATTCACGGACAGCGTGGCAGGGGTCGCCTTGGTCTTGTTGCTCCGTTTGCCCCGAGCAGTTTTAGTCTTGAGCGGAATTTTGCCCCCCCCCCAGAATACGCGGGTCAGCCTGAGCACCCACGCTCAGAAGTGGAAAAACATGGTCGTGGATGCTCAGCGAGGGATTCTCCAGGGGTGCTGGTACCCTCCTGGGGTAGTCTATCATTGAATTCCGCTACCATGTTGATGGGGGGGGGGATTTGGGCCTCCGGCCACCTGCACTCACCAGACGAAACGCGGAAGCAGAGCTTCCACTTCACGCCGGTATTCTGTGAGGTCGTGGTACCACCCCGGTTTGAGCCGGCCCATACGTGCGACAGCAAAGCTGCCGCGTGGCTCTACCACTGTTAAAAAATCATCATCGTAATCATCAACATCGTCGTCGTCGTCATCGTCATCGTCATCAGTAATGTCATCATCGTCATGGTCATCTGCATCATCACGATCATCGTCATCATCATTGCAATCATCATCATCATCGTCATCAAGATCATTATCATCATCATCATCTTCATCATCAGATTCATTATATCGTCATCGTCATCATTACAACGATCGTCATCATCATCATCATCATCATCATCGTCGTCATTTTCATCATCATCGTCATCATCATCATTGTCATCAATATCAGTATCGTCATCGTCATCGTCTTCATCATCATCATCATCATCATCATCGTCACCGTCATCATCATCGTCATCATCATCTTCATCATCAATATATTCATTATCGTCATCGTCATCATCATCGTCATCATCGTTGTCACCATCATTGTCATCGTCATCATCATCATCACCATATTCATCATCATCATCGTCGTCATCGTCATCATCATAAACATCTTCATCATCAGTATCATCATTATTATCATTATCATCATCATCGTCATCATCATCATCGTCATCAATATCAGCATCGTCATCGTCAATATGTTCATTATCGTCATCGTCATCATTACCATCATCGTCTTAGTCATCATCATCATCATAATCTTTATCATCGCCCCTCGAAAAATCGCTACTTTCCACTACCATGAACTACACACACTACCAAAGAAGATACACTACTACCATGAAAACAACCGAAAATTCAGAAATAAAACACCAATTCATCTATATCTTAACTGAAAATTGGTCTTTTCTGTTAAAATTTTCTTGTTATACAGTTTAGTTAATTAACCTCCGAATTTTACAATAGTTTTCGTAGTAAATTTTCACCGTTAAATAACTTATTTTCATATAATTCATTTTCTTATTATCTTATTTTCATAGAATTTTTAAACTTTTTAAAATCTTCGATTTCCCCGCTCCTTTAAGACTTACAAGGTCCGTATCGGATAGAAACTGCGATGTACATCAAATTTGATAGCCAAAACACACGGAACTCGAGAAATCGCTACTTTCCTCAACCAAGCCGAAAATTCAGAAATAAAACACCAATTTATACATATCTTGACTGAAAAATGGTCTTATCTGTGTAAATTTTCTTGTTATACAGTTAAGTTATTTGCCCCCCGTATTTTTAAATAGTTTTCATAGAAAATTTTCACCGTTAAATAACTAATTTTCATATAATTCGTTTTCTTATAATCGTATTTTCATAGAATTTTTAACTTATTAAAATCTTCGATTTACCCGCTACTTTTAGACTTATAAGGTCCGTATCGTGTAGAAACTGCCATATACACTCAAATTTGGTAGATAAAACACACGGAACTCAAAAAATCGCTACTTACCTCAACCAAGCCGAAAATTCAGAAATGAAAACACCAATTCATCCATAATATCTTGACTGAAAATTGGTCTTTTCTGTTTAAATTTTCATGTTATACAGTGTAATTAATTGCCTTCCGTATTTTACAACAGTTTTCGTAGTAAATTTTCACCGTTAAATAACTAATATTCATATAATTCGTCTACTTATAATTGTATTTTCATAGAATTTTTAAACTTTTTAAAATCTTCGATTTCTCCGCTCCTTTTATACCCGTATTACAAAGAAGTATTTACTTGTTGCGAAGTAACTTCTAAGTTAAGCCATTACTTAGGGTTAGAATTCTTAATTACTAAATCTCATTCTGTAGTTGAGTAACACACGTTACTTACTTTAGCTAATGCCCAAGTAACACTCAACGCTTGGTGGTTCTTTTTCTGTGTTCATAAGGTTAGATTAGGTTAGGTTAGGTTTTTTTTTTTTTTTTTTTCATTCGCTTTTCCCCGATCATGGGATCATCGGGTCCGTATTAATCTATGTTACTCATACATTCCAGTTCTCGCATGTATTCACACTTTCAGGCCGCATACTTAATCTTTCTTTTATCCATCCACGCTCATTCTTTGCCGGGTGGGACTCCCGCTACTCTATGCCTAATATTTCTTTTCTTTGGGAAAATAAAGTTCGTACATTTTATTTATTTTCTGTTATATCTTCAATAGTATTTACACTTTATATATATTATTTAAGCTTACAAGTTTCTACACATAGATACTCTACTTACTAATTTTTATTTAACTTACAAATTTCCTTGGTTACATATTTATTGGCTTACAACTATTATACTTATCATTATTTCTTAGTTCTTACGATTTCTATTTCTTAGTTTTATTTAAACATTTATAAGTCTAACATCAATATATGCCTACTGTTTTCTATCGTCTTATATCTAGCATTTTTCATTGCCGTTTCTTAATTCTATTCTTATATTTATTAGCTGTACACACAGTAAGAACTTATGTCTATTTATTTTTAACATTTGCAATTAACAATTTCACAGGTCTTAACTATTATGCACTTATCAGGATTAGTGAATTGTCATGTGTCTGATTTTCTTCTTCCTGGTTAGGTTAGGTTAGGTTAGGTTAGGTTAGGTTTTTTTTTCCCTCCTTCTTCTTTTCCATGAGGAATTGCTATCGGTATACAATTCCTTGTGGTTGCGAAATTTTTGTTGAAATGATGGGTTCTATTTGCTCCACATTTTGCTTTGATTTCTGTTAATATTTACTTTTGATAACTTTCAACAATGGCTTTCATAATATATTTTAATAATGTTACCTAAAATATTTACGATAAGAATTTGATTTATGTTTTATGCAAGATAACTGGAACATTAATTTGTTTAATACTAAACATAAATATACATATTCATACATAATTATATATAAATATTTATAATTAATAAATATTTAATATTTATAGACTACCTTAATAGAATTAATAAAATTAAAATTACTATTTACATAGGGTATCTTATTATTATACGTTTATTCCAATTTTTCTTGAATTTACTTATGAGGCATATAATGTTCAATTATTTTAATTTACTACTGCTGTATTGTTGTTGAAGTTTTTTAGTTGACTTATAATGTAATTGACGTGGGTTTTAAAAGTTTGTATAGTAGTTTCTTTGGAAATTATTTCTGATAAATTATATGGTTCTATCTTTAACATAGTGCACGCAATTTCATGTTCCATTCTTGTTCTAAAAAATGCAGGGCAGTTTCTTATAAGATGTGTCATGGATTGTACACTAGTTTGATCTCATGGGCATTTATTATCATTGGTTATTTTAAAACGATGAAGATATTCCTTGTGATATCCATGATTGCTAAGATACTGAGTTATAGCAAAATTAGGTGCCAGTGCTTTAACAGTTAGGGTGAGTTGCTCATAAGTAGGACATAGAGATTTGGTATATATGCCTTTGTCACTTTCAAAGTAAAAGTTTTCTGTTCCTTTAATGGCTTGTTGTCGATTTAAATATTTTACATGGCTTATTGGGAATTTGAGAAATTCATAAGATCGGTGGGAGGTTGCCGCGCTTTTGTCTGCTGCATCTGCTTCTTCATTGCCTGAAATTCCGATGTGACCTTTAATCCAGCAAAGACTGACTTTTAAATTGAGTGATTCAATTCGTTGTATTATCCTATGAATCGATACTACGAGGGAGTTGTAACTGTTTTCGTTTGCAATTTCTTGGAGACCTGATTTGCTGTCGGAGAAAATATATGTTGGATTGATTTTGTGTTCTATAATCCATTCGCAGGCTTTAGAAATGGCCAGGAGTTCGGCTTGAAAGACTGAACACGAGTCATGTAATTTGTATTTGCGTATTAGTTTTTCTCCGTTCGGTTTGTGTATCACAAATGCAGCGCCCACTTTATTGCTGGGTTAGGTTAGGTTAGGTTAGGTTTTTTTTTTTTTTTTTTTTTTTATTTAAGCTTACTTTACTACTACTATTCGGCAGTACCCTTCTTTCTGTTACAGTTAATCTTTTGTTGTTTTAAACAACTTTTTTTTTTATTTAATGTATATATATATTTTTTTTGTATTAAAATGTATATATATATTATATATTTTTTATGTAATCATTTTTTTTTAATGGTTCTGTACTGCTAAAAATTTACTTAGACATTCTTTTACAACGACTTTTTACAATTATTATATTCATATCTTATATATTATTAGTCTACACTTATTTTAATCCCAATTATAATTACAATTCAATGCATAATACTTTGTTTGAGCTTACAATTGGTTACCTTATATAAATAATCTAAATATTCTTTCGGTCTTAGTTATTATTTTGGTATCTTGTTTAAATAATCTACGGTAATTCTAGTCTAGTCCTATTTTAAATAACAATTGTTAAAAACTATGCTCTTTAAGCTTACTTTAACATTCTCATTGCCCATTAATCTAATTTTATTAAAATTTGTACAAATATCATATTTTTAATGTTTTATTGCTATTGTTAATGTAATCATTACACCGCCATAGGTACACGATTAATATATTAATCTATTATCTTACTACCATTTTCTTTATTAATTATTTTTAGCACTTTCAGTGCAAATTCCAGAAATACAGTTCGGCAATTGTTGTCTTCGATGATTAATGATAAAGATTTGTTATTTATAACCAAGCCCATACTGCTCTCGCATTCGAATCTTTTAAGTGCAAATCGTGGACAGTTCATTAAAATATGCTCGATCGTTTGTTTACTTTCGTTATCGCAACAGCAGTATGGGGATGGTGATAGCTTAAATCTATGTAGGTATGCTTTGTTGCCACCATGACCTGTGAAAAGTTGAGTTAATATATTAGTCATTCTAATACTTTTTAATACTTTATAGGCCTTTTCAATATTAGGGAAGAAGGTCTTCGTTACTTCGCTGCCCGCACATTCTTCATATTTTGCCTGCCACATATGTAAGGTATTTTGTCTGGTAAGGCGCTTTGCGTACGACAAAGGGACTCTATCGTATCTGGTCTTTTGTTTGTTTCTGACAGCTGCGTACTTAGCCAATTCATCTGCTCTTTCGTTTCCGCTTATTCCAGTGTGCGCTCTTATCCAGTATAGTCTTATAATGCCCTCTTTTAATTCGATTATTTTTATATTATTTCTGATTTCAGCAGCAATTGGATTCAAAGATGATGGGTCACTGATGCTCATTATAGCTGACCTAGAGTCGCTGAAAATATTTGCTTTCAGTTGGTTTTCCGCTATTAGGTATTCTAATGCCCTCAAAATTGCCACGAGTTCGGCTTGGTAGACGCTGCAGTAATTTTCAAGTCTGAAGTTAATATTTCGGTTTTCTTGTTCCAGATGGTGACAGCAGCTCCCACTCTATTATTGAGTTTACTTCCGTCAGTATAGACTTCTATCCAGTTGTTGGTTTTTTCATCGATATCTTGCTGAGAATTTATATATTCGAAATTATATTTCTTCCTTTCAGAGGGTTGCGGTAAGTCGAATGGGCTTATTCTTTTCTCCAAAAGTCTACCCGGTAAGGAGTCTATGGGTTTCCCACGTTTAATCTCATACATAACAGCATTTTCTCTGGCTCTGAGTGCTAAAGGGATTATTTTAGCCAGTAATGTGCTCGATACTAGAGAATTTGTTTTATGGCCTTTACAAATTCTTATGCTGAAGAGTCTTGTAAGCCTGTTTAATAACCGATCCACGTATCTTTTTTCCGTAGTATGCGCCCAGCAACTCGCCGCATACAACACCGTTGGTTCTACTACGGCTGTATATATTGTACGGACAATATCTGAATTGAGTCCCCATTGTGCTCTTGCCGCTTTAGATACCATTTTATAAAGATTTACTGCTTTGCGACTAATGTTGTCTAAGTGTGGTTTGAAATTAAAATTTTTATCAATTGTAAGACCTAATATTGTAAGATGTTCTGTATAATTCAGCTCTATTCCTTCCATGTATAATTTAGGGGTATGGTATTTAAGTTTTTTGGTTATTACGATTGCTTGGGTTTTGTGCGGTGCAAATTTTAGCTTGTACTGTTTTCCCCAGTCTGATATAAATTTTAGGGTGTAGTTGAGATCCTTCTCTAGTTGTTCTCCATTGCTGTTGGTGCCTACCAAGAGTATGTCATCCGCGAAAGCTTGTACATGAGTGTGTAGGTCTTCTGTTCCTTGTAATAGGGAGTCTATTAAGATGTTCCATAGTATCGGTCCACAAGTAGAGCCCTGAATGCATCCCTTATTTGTGGGTCGCGTAACTTTTTTTCTAGCATATCTTAAATCGATTGCTCTGTTGGCCAGGTAGCTTGTTATTAGTTTAAGCAGAGATGGTTCTGCTTGCTTGTCATGTAGTTGTTTGATAATTGCTGGCCACCAGGCATTATCAAATGCACCTTCAATGTCCAGGGACACAAGTACGACAATTTCCTTTTTGCACAGTCCGTTTTTAATTGCTATAGTAGTATCATAAAGGGCATATTCAGTGCTCCGTTGTGGCGTGAACCCATATTGCCTATTGTTCATCTTATTTTCACGACCGAGTTGCCATTGTATCCTGTTAACAAATAATTTCTCCAGTAATTTTCCTAATATCGGTAATAGACCTATAGGTCTATATGCTTTGGGGATGGAATAATCTTCTTTATTTGGCTTTGGTATAACTTTAATTGTTGCTATTTTCCACTTTGTTGGAAAATGGCCAAGCTTGAGACATTGGTTCATTAGACTCAAGATACTTTCTGGATCATTTTTATACGCTGCTTGGCAGATGTCCGAAGTTAAGCTATCTCCGCCTGGTGCCTTTTTCGGGCTCATGTTGTTAAATATATGTTCGATTTCTAATAATTTAAAAGGCTGTATTTCTGGAGTGTTATTTTCAATTTTTTTTTTAATTAATTCCTGCACGTTCTTCCTTAGTTTGTCTTGTTCTTCAGTATCGGTTTCGATGCTATCCCACGGGAAAAAGGTTTCGGCCAATAGATTGGCCGATTCCCTTTCGTTGAGAATGGTGCCGTCCTTTTTTTTTACGTAGGAGCTTCTCTTCTTCGGTGTTAGAACACACTTTAAGGATTCTGTACGTCCGTTGCCATACGTTTTCCTTCTCTTCGGTACTGCAAAGATCTTTCCAACTTTGTGTTGCAGCTGTTTCTATGCTGTGGATATATTCTTCTCTTGCTTTGAGATAGAGATCTATGACAAAATTTCGTCTCTTAGGGTGCGCGTTCCGAATTCTTCGTCTTATCCTAATCATCTCCTCTTTCTTAAGTGTAAGTTCTTTAGTCCACCATATTGCTGCTTTCTTTGCTTTCTTAGGTTTAATTAATGGGATTGCTTTAGAACATGCCGCTGAAATGCATTGCGTATATTTATCTACCATTATGTCCAAATCTTGTGTTGTCTTAATTTGTCCTATAATTTCCTTGTTTATTTGGTTGCTACTTGATTCTGTCGTTAGTTCTTGTTTGAATACTTCCCAGTTCGCTTTCCTAGTATCAAACTTTCGCGTGCTGGTAATTGTCTTTTGTGGTGTAAAATTCTGTGGATTAAGCTCATATAATATTGGTTTATGGCTTGACAAAGTGCTAAATGTTTCATCAACTCTCCAATTTTTGATCTTGTTTATTAAAGAAGCTGAACACACTGTTATATCTATGATACTGGAGCAAAGCTTGCCCATCCTATAAACTGCAAATGTTGGGTTGCTGTCAGTATTGAGGATTTCTAGATTTAATTCAGCCACTGTCTCCATTATTTGAGAACCCCTTTTATCGTCAGCATCGCATCCCCACCAGACACTTTTTGCGTTGACGTCTCCTGCAATGATGTAGTCACTTGCGTTCATGCTCGACGCAAATTGGTTGATTTTGGTAAGATCTTCATCAATATTTCCTTTCTCGTGCAAGTAAATATTAATTATACCTATCCTTTTATAATCTACTTTGATTATGATTGTTACAATATCTTCCGTAATGAGGTCTGGATTAACAGTGTACTTAATATTTGGATCTAAGATAACGATTGCCGATCTGACTGGTTTATTTTTGTCGTGACTAACTTTTTGGACAACGCGGTAGTACGAGCCTAGGGTAACGTGGGCTTTAGCTCCGACATAAGGCTCCTGCATCAGTATTATTGAAAATCCCTGCATTGTGGCTGCGCGTAAACACTCTTGTGTTACCGCACGCCCACGATCCAGGTTGTATTGAACTATTTTTATTCTGTTATTGTCTGGGGTTGTTGTAGTATCAATTATCTCTTAACAATAATTTACCGAGGATCTTGCAATCATGTCCCATTTAGTCCACTCCGGACATTCAGAACTGTAAGCTGGATGGCTTAAGGATTCTTTTTGTAAATTTTTGCAGTTTTTACATTTTGGTGTTTGATTTCGATTCGTGCACAATCTGGTATCATGCTCCTCGGAACAGTATCCGCAAACGAGTCCGTTATGGCAATCCCTAGCTAAATGATTAAATCCCAGACACTTATAACATTGGGTAAGAGGAGAGTGGTCAAGGTTAGGTTAGGTTAGGTTAGATTCTGCGGAAGAATTTGGATTCCCGCGGCCCCGCGCGTGCACGTGCGAGGAGACACCGGGGTGGTTTTAGCCGGTAAGAGTCCGGCACACCCCTCCGCCTGTCCCCAGGCAGAGGCAGTCCATGAGGATTTCCCCCCCCGTAAAAAAAAAAAAGGTAGGTTAGGTTAGGTTAGGTTCCCCCCGAACGGGTTCCCGCCTTGTCGTGGCGGGGGGCTTAGAAGCCGTGGCTTGGTCACCCACGGCGAAACAAAGAGGAACCCATATGGCTGGTCCAAGGTGGAGGGCCGGCCCAAGGTGGCCACTCCGAGTGGGCTTGGGGAGCCCACTTCGGATGAGTGTTGGTGGACTGCGGTGAGAGGTGTGTCCTCCCCACCTACCGCTGCAGCCGAGGTGGAGTCGCGGAGGAAGAGGAGTGTTGGTATGGCGATGCGCCACTCGCCCTATCCTCCGCGACTCAAACGGGGCCGCACCGTTGATGCGGTGGTGGTGGGGCTGCGGGGGGAGAGGATTGTCGGTATTGCGAGGCGCCGCTCTCCCTACCCTCCGCAGCCGAATCTTGGTTGGCGGCGGAGCCATAGACCAGATCCGCCGCTGGGGTCGGGAAGGCTAGTACTTCTAAGTGCTTGTTTTTCCTGGCCCCATGGCCTTCTTGCATTGGACGCGGGGACGTCCGTTGCGCAGATGTAATTAGAGGCCGAGAAGGAAGGTGCGCCATGTGTTCTGGTGCGCCTTACCTGTGAAGGAGAACGGGGTGGAATATTCCGCTCCCGAGGAGGTGCTGCCATGGGGCGGCAGGCGCTGGTGGGGCTGCGGATGTGTGCGAAAGCGTTCCCGTGGCCCTGCCAATAGCGACAAAGGTGGAACACCATGGGGTTTTAGTCGGTGCGAGTCCGACATAACCCGTCCTTGCCCCCCGCGAGGCGGGTATGCGTAGGCATTTCCCCTATGTACAAAAAAAAAGGTTAGGTTAGGTTAGGTTAGGTTAGGTTAGGTTAGGTTAGGTTAGGTTAGTTTTTTTCCCTCCTTCTTTTCCATGAGGAATTGCTATCGGTATACAATTCCTTATGGTTGCGAAATTTTTGTTGAAATGATGGGTTCTATTTGCTCCACATTTTGCTTTGATTTCTGTTAATATTTACTTTTGATAACTTTCAACAATGGTTTTCATAATATATTTTAATAATGTTACCTAAAATATTTACGATAAGAATTTGATTTATGTTTTATGCAAGATAACTGGAACATTAATTTGTTTAATACTAAACATAAATATACATATTCATACATAATTATATATAAATATTTATAATTAATAAATATTTAATATTTATAGACTACCTTAATAGAATTAATAAAATTAAAATTACTATTTACATAGGGCATCTTATTATTATTCGTTTATTCCAATTTTTCTTGAATTTACTTATGAGGCATATAATGTTCAATTATTTTAATTTACTACTGCTGTATTGTTGTTGAAGTTTTTTTTTTTAGTTGACTTATAATGTAATTGACGTGGGTTTTAAAAGTTTGTATAGTAGTTTCTTTGCAAATTATTTCTGATAAATTATATGGTTCTATCTTTAACATAGTGCACGCAATTTCATGTTCCATTCTTGTTCTAAGAAATGCAGGGCAGTTTCTTATAAGATGTGTCATGGATTGTACACTAGTTTGATCGCATGGGCATTTATTATCATTGGTTATTTTAAAACGATGAAGATATTCCTTGTGATATCCATGATTGCTAAGATACTGAGTTATAGCAAAATTAGGTGCCAGTGCTTTAACAGTTAGGGTGAGTTGCTCATAAGTAGGACATAGAGATTTGGTATATATGCCTTTGTCACTTTCAAAGTAAAAGTTTTCTGTTCCTTTAATGGCTTGTTGTCGATTTAAATATTTTACATGGCTTATTGGGAATTTGAGAAATTCATAAGATCGGTGGGAGGTTGCCGCGCTTTTGGCTGCTGCATCCGCTTCTTCATTGCCTGAAATTCCGATGTGACCTTTAATCCAGCAAAGACTGACTTTTAAATTGAGTGATTCAATTCGTTGTATTATCCTATGAATCGATACTACGAGGGAGTTGTAACTGTTTTCGTTTGCAATTTCTTGGAGACCTGATTTGCTGTCGGAAAAAATATATGTTGGATTGATTTTGTGTTCTATAATCCATTCGCAGGCTTTAGAAATGGCCAGGGTTAGGTTAGGTTAGGTTAGGTTAGGTTTTTTTTTTTAACTCTACAGACTCGTAGTCCGTACCCTTTGTTACATTTTTTTTTTATAATTGTTATGACATTGCATATGTAGTTTCTAAGCTATAACATCTCTCCGCGTTTTTTTGAATATAAATTTTTTCATTAACATAGATTACTATAATATCATGCCTTATATCTAACGGTAAGTGTAATTTTTTTTTTGTTTTTTTTTTTGCCTCTATTTTTTATTCTTTTTCTTATTTTTCTTTTTTTTTTGGTTTATTTTATTTTGTTTTTTTTTTCTTCTTTTTTTTTCATGCATCTTAAACTAAGGTTAGTTATGGTTTGAAACTTTTGTCTACATACTTATAACTAACTTATAACTAATTCATATTTTTTTTTGCCAGACCTTTTTTTTTGTTTGTTTTATTTTGTTCTTTTTTTTTTTTTCCTGCATCTTAAACTATGGATATTAAACATCTTATACTCAATACTTAATTTATAACTAACATAACTATAATTTACAAAAATTTTCCAATTTTAATAGTAAGTAAAATTGTTGCGGTTATGTCATTTAACATCCGTTTGATTGTTGTTTATGCCGCTTCGTCTCGGACCACGTTCATAATGTTTCTTGCAACCTTTAAGTCTCGATGATGTTTTGCCATTTTCATGTTGTAATCCCTAATTCTGCTTGTGGTGGCAGCCTCGGCGCGCAAAATTAAATAGGCAATTGCATCTTCCTCACACCAATCGGTGTAGTAGATGCAATGGCTCGTATGGCGCGAGATTGCCACCACTGCATGAGGAATACTGTTATATAGGCGTTGTTTCTCTCTATTAGATCGCACGATTACCACCGTCTCGCTCACGAGCCCCTGAGCTTCATGTATGGTTAGAGTTCGCGATCCCTTCCCTTTTCCGTAGCCCTGGCTGATGAGATTTTCCTTTTCAGCCTGGGTGTGTCCCAAGTATAAAGTATTTTCAAGGGACTTTGGGATCTGTGAACCCATGTACCTCTTTAGCTCTAGAGATCGCAACCTAGTATTGGATGAGTATATGCCATCATAGATTTCGTTTAGTGCATATGCTACATCCAGTGGGTTTCTGTGCGTGCAGAGCCATTCTTGGTCGATATTAGCCACGAGATTTGGACGAGTGTTGTGTAGTCGGAACAAATCATGTCTGTCGATATATGGTAGTTGGTTGTTGTCCCCTACAATGAAAATCTCGCTTGCACCCGTGATTTGTACTGCCGTTACTATAGCCCCAAAATGGTTCATGAGCGCTTCGTCAATTAAAAGACGAGAGTATTTCTCAGACGCCCTTATGCCATTTACCAAGATTGAGGCCATAGTCCGCACCTTCATTGCTGCGTCAGCTTCTACACGTGATGCTAGCCTCTCCCTCAGGTCAGTTGCAGCTGCAGTTGTTGTAGTGATTATGATATCATTTTCCTCCGCGAAGTTGTTAATAACCCAGGATGTTTTTCCACACCCGGGTACGCCATTGACCCATGTTATTTTTGGCAACTGCCAATGCCCAAGAGAGCCGCCCTTCTCCAAAGTCATGGACACAGCCTTGAGCCTGTCCAAGATCTCGTCCTCGAGCATTACTCTTGTACACTTTGCTGTTACCACTATGGGGTCCTGAGGAGGTGTTCGAAAGACAAGTTGGCCCTACCGTTCTGTCTCAGTCCCGTCCAAAGCCACAAAACCAACCGTTGCGTTGTATGCCGCCATGTACAATCCCGACACTTTCCCTTTAATTACTTCAGCTGTGTTGTCGTACACAGCAGTCGTTGTTGTACACAGCAGCCTCGGATTCCTCGAGTTTCACCTCAAGCTGATCTTCACAGCCTCGAAGAAAAGATTCCAAGATGCTCTCACAGGTCATGATGTTAACCTCTCTGGTAGCTTTTACGATAGCTTTAAACTCGAGGAATGCATTTATCCAGTGGTCCAGGGGCTCCGATACCTCCCTGAGACTCGGCAGAGTGACTTGTCCCATGTCTGCTTTCGTCCATGTGCATGGAGATTTTCTTGTCTGACCTTTGGGAAAATACTTTGCGGCGCTCTTAACAGCAGCAACTATCTTCTCTGT